GCACGAAGAACATCGTTAATGACGTACATTAGCATCGTGATCGTCAGCGAGAATGACGTCATCTGCGAGCGTGACGTCATTCACGAGCATGACGTCATCCGCGAGCGTGACGTTATCCGCGAGCGTGACGTCATCCGCGAGCGTGACGTCATCCACGAGCATGACGTCATCCACGAGCGTGACGTCATTCACGAGCATGACGTCATCCGCGAGCGTGACGCCATCCACGAGCATGACGTCATCCGCGAGCGTGACGTCATCCCCGATCATGACGTCATTCGCGAACAGGACGTCATCCGCGAGCATGACGTCATGCTATTACTGTAGGTGCTATCATGGCACTAGCAATGCGCCGATAGAAATTCCACCAGCGTGACATCACTCAATACCGGCACAGATTCCGTGTTCGAACTTCGAAGCAGTTTCCGTTTCTCCGTAAAGATTTCACTGTCTATGCATCTGACAGGCGCTAGAGTCGCCAGTTTACGGTATGGAACCCTAGCGGGCATGCGCTAGCAGCGACACCTACCTCGCCCGTCGACTGACACTCGCCCGCCTCGTAGCAGTCACTACCGAGGGCAGCACCTACAAACAAATATGGTCGTCATAATATAAATGTAATAATTAGTAATGATAATTTGATGATAATATATATTTATTTATTTATTTATGTATTTATTTATTTATTTATTTATACATATCGTAAGTACGTTCACGTGGAAATAGCTCTGATTTAGAACAGCATCGGATATCAGCAAAACATTGATGAGCAATCGATAGATCGATTCGGGATCGGTTCGACGTTAATGATACTGGCTGCGACGTTGACGATACTGAGTGCGACGTTAATGATACTGACTGCGACGTTGACGATACTGAGTGCGACGTTAATGATACTGACTGCGACGTTGACGATACTGATGCGACGTTAATGTACTACTACGTGATACAGTGCGACGGTTGACGATACTCTACGGACGTTGGACGATACTGCAGTTCGACGTTGACGATACTGTGCGAACGCACCTGTTACATACGACTGCGGACTTAATGATACTATCTACGTCGGCCCCTCACCTAATGTTTCGATGACGTCGCAATGTAGCTTATACTGAGGGCAGTCAGTTCTCCGTGTCCTCCTCAGTCCGCTCAGACTCGCCGGCAGCCGCCATCGACGGTCAAAACTCTTCCTCGTTCGTCGTCGTGTAACAACGTGATGTGCACGTGATGAGCAACGTGCATTGGCACATGATCGTGCACCGTGATGGCACGTGTGTTGACACCTGATTCGCACGTGTATGATCACTCATGAGCATATATAATGAGCACAAATACGTGCCAGTGCGCCTGCGCGCGCGTGACTGCTGCTATTCTGTCTGTTCTCTGTCTGTCGTGGTGTGCGTGTCTTGTGTGTGCGTGCGTGCGTTGCCTGTGCGTAACGTACAGAGCCTCTAACCTAAACCTGGAGCGAGGGCGGCTACGCTGTTGCGTTGCTGCATGGCTTGCGTGCGGTCGTGCGTAACGTACAGATGCCTCTAAACCTGCACGCAGGGCTCGCTAGCGTGCCGCCGTGGGTTGGACACGGCGTCCACACGAGTCCGCGCTCTGACTGATCTCTCCCCAGTACGCTCCAACCGTGTCGATTACCGAGGCAAGCGACGAAGGCCGACCGTTCCAGCTCTAAACAAAAAGGAAAAACTACGCGTCTAAAGCCCGGACGCACACCGGTGAGCTAATTTTATTCAAGTCAAAATGATGCATTGCGTCAAAATACCTCAACGTAAATCGCCCCGCACAAGTTGAAGTATTTTGACACATGCGCCAAAATACTCAACGAAACATCCGCGCCACATGTGAGTATGTTCTGACGCCATGCATCATCTTTTACTTGAGCTAAAATTACTCACGTGCGCCGCCGGCTTAAAGTAATAACAGTATGACGTGTGAAGCACGCGTGACGATCTACCGGAATCAGGCTTCTAACAACGAAGACGTCACGTCGATGCACTCACGTGACCGCCAGCCTCTAGACGAAGGGCATCACGTGCGAGGCGCATGATGATCACATGTTTCGATCAATTCTAGACGGTTCATGTAATAACGTAACACGTGGGAACAGCAGGCCAGCAGCAGTAGCTACACCACACCACCACCACTACCACCTACCACCACTACCAGCAGCAGCCAGCAGCCGGCAACAGTGAGCGAAGCAGCAGCAAGCAACGCGGCACGGCACGCAGTAGCGGCAGTCAGTAGCGAGCAGCATAGCCAGCAGCCACCACCTTACAGCCGAACCACCACCACCACCACAACTACCAGCGCACAGCAGCACCAGCGAGCAGCCACCAGCAGCAGCACGCAGCGACAACAGCAGTGCAGTTAGCGCAGCAGCAGCAGCAGCAGCAGCAGCAGCGGGATAAAGACACGTACTTGACACACAGATCTGGTCGGGCACGGCCACGCCTCCGACCTCCGTGCGCGGCCAGGTGAGGTTGCTGGTGCCCAACATCGTCCAGTCCGGCTGACACGCCGCTGAAACAACCAGCCGACATATTACCACTAGTCAGCCAGTCAATCAGTCAGACAATATACTATATATGAAATTAAATTGAAATATAAAGCCCGTAATACAAGTATAGCATAGAACCTAAGTATACGAAACGTAAAAAGGTCAGTCAGTCAGTGTGCTAATGAAAGCAGTATGTAATTCCGGTGAAACTTCGAGCTACTAAACGGTATTTATATTGCAATTGCCGGTAGATAAACGATAATTGAATTGCAGCCGCATGTTAAAACGCGTAGATTTGATTGCAACAACGTATGCGACAATGCGACAATGACGCGCAAAATGGCGGAATCGCAACCAAAGGGCGCCCCGAGCAACCTACTGCAGCTGAGCACTTCCACTTCCGTGATGTTGTATCCGGCGAGCGTGCTGGCATTGCCTGCCAGCCAATCGGAGAGCCAACCGTCAAGCATCTGCACATGATAGGCCTCCGTGCCTATATCAGGACGATCCGGAGGCTCTTCTTGGCTCTGGCGCTTCCTTCGCTGAGGTGGTTGGAATACTTTCGCCTGTATCGCAACATGGTAGGTGATCGCTAACCACCCCTCGCTAGGAATAAACACCGAGAGGAGGGTGATTAGGCCTATTATTGTTATTATTGTTGTTGTTGTTATAATATTATTATTATTATTTATTTATTATTACCAGCAGTAGTTCTAGTAGTAGAAGCAGCAGCAACAACAGCGACAACAACAACAACAACATCAGTAGCAACAACTTCCTCATCGTCATTGTCATCGTTATCATCATTATCATCATCATCATCATCGTCGTCATCGTCATCGTCATCATCATCATCGTCGTCATTGTGATCGTCATCATGGTCGCGCCTACCTGGTGGCTGATATCCTCGTGACGGCAACTTCGCCTTGCAGGATCTTGTTGAACTGGAGCACGTTGCTCATGGCGCGCGTCAGGTTGGTGGCGAGTTCGCTGAGAGAGCTGGGATCGGGTCTATCCACGTATGCTGCATTGTTCATGAGAGGCGAGTGGCGCGACAGGTCGTACGGTGTCGTTGCGGCGACGGCGCGTACGACGTACGTCGATACTGTAAACAGGAATGAGCGTTCACGTAGAAATGATGAATAAGATCCAAACTTGTGTGGTAAACTGTAATAACCTTTAATACTCATACACTGTGTAGCCACATCATCAGACAATCGCACAAACAGACAAAGAACGCGCACACGCGCATACGGATAAGACATAGATAGATAGAATATATAGATACGATAGATAGATAGTATAGATAGATAGATAGATATATAATAGATAGATAGATAGTAGATAGATAGATAAGCATAGATAGATAGATTAGATGAGATAGATAGATATAGATAGAAATTAGATAGATAGATAGATATTAGATAGATAGATAGATAGATAGATAGATAGATAGATTAGATAGATAGATAATAGATAGACAGAGTGAGAAGAGAGAGAGAGAGAGAGAGAGAGAGAGAGAGAGAGAGAGAGAGTGAGACAGAGTGAGAGAGAGAGTTATGCCTGAGTTTTTTTTATGGCGTCTACTACAGCACCTGTTTACGAAATGTTCACCGTAGGTTTTCTCCCGTTACAGTATATTCACCAATCCGCTGTACTCTGCATCTGAAGGAGGTTTTCTGTCGTCAGCTGTCACAGGGCAAGGCTACTACTGGTGTACGGCCTGGGGAGGCATTCCACCAAGAAGCTTTAGCTCTGCTAAAGTTCTAGTGCTCTACGAAGGTACTTGCGTAATCCCAGTGCGTTATGCACCTATCTATCTATGTGTCTGTCGGTCGGTCGGTCGGTCGGTCGGTCGGTCGGTCGGTCGGTCGGGTCGGTCGGTCGGTCGTCGGTGCGGTCGTCGGTCGTCGGTCGTCGGCCGGTCGGTCGGTCGTCGGTCGTCGGTCGGTCGGTCGGTCGGTCGTCGGTCGTCGTCGTCGGTCGGTCGGTCGTCGTCGGTCGGTCGGGTCGGTCGTCGTCGTCGGTCGTCGGCCGGTCGGCCGGTCGGTCTGCCTTCCTGCTAGCTGCCTGCCTGTTGCCTGTCTGTCTGTCTATCTATCTACATATCTCTCTCTGCTCTTCTCTCTCTCTATATATATATATATATATATTATATATATATATATATATATACTACGGGATACCCGGCGTTGCCCGGAAATCGTGGCGTTACTCAGTTGGTGACCGCTTGGTTGAATGGAAGATACCCAAAAAAATCGAACTATCTATCTATCCATGCATCATCCATGTATCCATCCATCCATCGCATTCCATGCCATCCCATCCATCCCATCCCATATCCGCCCATCCCATCCATCGCATGCCATCTCATCGCATCCAGGCCATGCCATGCCATGCCATGCCATCCCATACCATCCCATTCGCACCGCATCCCATCCCATCCATCCTATCCCATGCATGCCATCCATCCCATCCCATCCCATCCATCCCATCCCATCCATCCATCCGCATCCCATCGCATGCCATCCCATCCCATCCCATCCATCCCATCCCAACAATAAAAAATAAGAAGAAATCAAAAGATAAAAGTCATTAAAATAAAAAGAGTCAAAAATTATAAATAAAATAATAGAAATATAATATTATTTGATATGTAACCTACATAGGCTTCCGTGAAGTGTTCCCGTCAGTTTGCGCTATCATTATCATCTACCATAGTTTATTATGGATTTTTACTAAACGTTTAAATGTGGTAAACAATTTAAATTTTGAAATTAACGGTGAATACGGCAGAAGTACATACTAAACAGTGCAAAAGTAAATGAACAAAGCATTTCCCGAGGTGGGATTCGAACCCAGAATCTATAGTTTAGGAGTCCGATGCTTTATCCATTCGTCTACTGGTCAGCTATTATGGTTATGCTATATGGTCAGCTATATGGTCAGCTATATGGTTATACACCATGGATTCACACGTACGTGATGTATAGTGTTAATCTGTACGCCATCTATTGATGAATATAATTGTTATTAATTTTAAATTTTTAACTTTTTTGAAATTTGTCCTCACCTCCTAGACGTGCTGATTCTGAGAATATATTTAGTTTTCCTCTAGATTGCGGAGTTCTCTAGTTATGCGCGAACACACAAATTCGGCTGAACAACTTTATATATATATATATATATAAGCTGCGTTCACACGTATACACGGCTTAGCTGGTACCGTACTTAGTTGGTGCTAAGTCGCGGTTAAAACGCGTTCACGACGCTTACACGAGATTCGAGGCTTAGCTAGCCAGGAATAATATAGACTGGTACCCGGTCGACAGTTCCACACACTACACTAACGTCTTGCAGCGAACGGTACCAGTCTAGGTGAGCAATACGCGGCCAGCGTGGTGCGAATATACGCGGCTTAGTTGGCGCGGAATATGATTCCGCGCTTAGCAAGCCGGAGCATTCGCGCTAAGCAAGCCGTGGCTAAGCAACCGCGTATATTTTAGCGTGTGAATGCAACTTTTCTCCTCGTGTGAATGCAGCTATATATATATATATATATATATATATATATATATATATATGTACAATATATATATATATATATATATATATATATATATGTATATATATATTATCAAGAGCTAATAATATATATATATATACTGCACACTATGCGGCGTCAGATCGTACGACTGCCGCTCCATCTTTACAGACGTATTGTAACATCTGTTTTACACGTGTGACATGGCTATAGCTAGACAGAGCGTCATTGCTACATTGATGTATCAGAGAGAATGGTAAACGTGGTTAAGTTACAGATTAGAGGGTCACTGTGAAATTGGGTAGGACGTAGTCTGTGAGAACGGGTACATGTGCGGGCAGTATGTTTGTAGGAGTTTGGGGGAAATTGATAGGAGAGAGATGGAGATTGGAGATTCTGGTTCTGGTCGCGAAAGGAGGCACAACCGCGTACGCGCGTGTGC